GACAAACAGTACACAAAACTTAACGTAGAAAGATACAGTATACAAAACTTAACGTAGAAAGACAAACAGTACACAAAACTTAACATAGAAAGACAAACAGTACACAAAACTTAACGTAGAAAGACAAACAGTACACAAAACTTAACGTAGAAAGACAAACAGTACACAAAACTTAACGTAGAAAGACAAACAGTACACAAAACTTAACGTAGAAAGACAAACAGTACACAAAACTTAACGTAGAATGACAAACAGTACACAAAACTTAACGTAGAAAGACAAACAGTACACAAAACTTAACGTAGAAAGACAAACAGTACACAAAACTTAACGTAGAAAGACAAACAGTACACAAAACTTAACGTAGAAAGACAAACAGTATACACAAAAAATAATATATATAGAAAACTAAGGTGTGTTGCAAAGACACTCGACTTTTTAAAGCCGTAACCTTGTTGACATTTAGATGTTTGGTCGTTTGGTTGCTGTCTAAATGACGTATATCTCACGCCGCAGCAATGATAATTCGTCGTAATTATCAAAATGAACAACAATAAAATTTCGGTTACTCTTGTGAAATAATATTTATTTCTGAGAAATACATGGATATATAGCGATATAGTCAGAGATCGATATATGCCAGGGGTTGGTATAAAAGCGATAGAGTCCAACAGCCGTTAGTAAATAAAGTAGTCCCAAAAGCAAGTTAATTCTTATATGATTTTGTTTTCTTTTATCAACTTTAATTGTTGTAGAAGATATTATTCAGCAATTTTACTCAGTGGTGGATTCGGGTAGTAGAGGGCGTATCTTTTGGTTGGATAATATATATATTTTTTAGTTATAAAATTGCCCAAATAATTTCGGTTTCGCTACTCTCAGCAATATTTCTTCCATTTTATGAAATAACACCCTTTTAAAAATCCAAGTTCCATCCGTTTCTTATACGCACACAAACAAAATATTCATACATTTTAAAAGTACAATGCTGCGTTTACAAGTTTCGACATCAAATAATGAATCATCCTTGTAAACTATGCCGACAGCCAATATTTATAGTTTGTTTAAATGTCACAGAAACGTGATTAATACTAAACTTTTTACAGAAAGAAAATAAAATAGTGGAAAGATTAATTGCTGTTGGTAATGAATTATTTATTTGCAACGTTTGCCTTTTAAACAAAAAGAGTGTTACAATATCAAACAAAAAATTGAGAATGGAAATGGGGAATATGTCAAAGAGACAACAACCCGACCAAAGAGCAGATAACAGCCGAAGGCCACCAATGGGTCTTCAACGCAGCGAGATAATCCCGCACCCGGAGGTGGTCCTCAGCTGGCACCTCACTGTTTTGCACGTTCTCAAAACATCCCCTGGTCATTATTAGCAAAAAAAATTTATTCTTTCTAAAGATGAGAACGTGCCACTGTTTCTGCTGATTGGTCCAGAAGTGGTCCAAAAGTCATTTATAAAGACGCTGACTCTTTGAAGCGTAATTTACGAGGACGTAAAACAAACTGAAATTTTAGTATAAAAGTATCCTCTTCCAGTTAGTCTTGGCATTTTTCTTAACATCTTTATGATGGACAAGGGGACCGCCCCTCCCCTTTATGGAGCTTCAATTATGGTTAATGCATAGACTTTTCGTATGTCCCACTCCTTACAATGCCTAGTTTTGCCCCCTTTATCGAGCTACATGTATGTTTAATGATTAGACTTTTTACATGTCCCGCTCTAAACGTTGCTTAGTTTACCCCCCCCCCCCCCCCCCCCTTGTTTCAAAGTTCTGGATCCGTACCTGATCTTCTCTGGTGTGATAAAATGCCCTTCAGTATCGTTTATAATTATTATGTTCTTGTTTTAAGTTGTTCAAATAAGAACAGGGCTATGAAATAGCCACAACCTTGAAAGACGTCGAAAGTCCGCAACTTGAGACAATAATCTAGAAAAAGATAAAAAAAAAAAAAAAAAATTTGTAAGCATTCGGCACACATCAGCAGATTAAACAGCTAGGTACCGGGATTTGCCGATGTTAGCCCAATGATATGTAAAACATTGATTATTCCCTATTATCACAACTTAAAAAAAATTTTAATTGTCAATGGAATTAGTGTCCTAAATATTTTAAACATCCCGGTGGACTATTACAGGACCTACCTACTATATTTATTGTTAACTTGTTCTCGTCCTGAACATGCATGAAATATTTGCCAATGGACTTAAATAAAACAACAATCAACCAATCAATCCAAAATATACACCGTGTTATTTCTGGCTCCATTTTCGAAATTCTAGGTTAAATATCAACAAAAACTAAAAAAAAAACAACGAATACACCGGTTATCTCGATCCGAAACCGCGGAGGGATCCGCGGTCCCGAGGAGCAATTAATGAAACGTTTGTCAGTGTGGGAAAGTTTAATTTAGATCCAACGGACTCGATAATCAAGCTCGATAGGAATCCGATCCAGAAAACACACCCACCGTTACAAATGTTTCATCAATTGCGCCTCGGGGTTCGGATCCCTCCGCGGATTACGGATCGGGATGCCCGATGTGAATACATTTCATACTGTTTTTGTTATAATATTTAGTTCTATCCCAAATTAGGAAAAGGAGAATGCCACCAAACGGGAAATTATTGGGTGTCAATTTGGCATTTTCCATATCCTGAGATGAAGCAGCAGACTGCATTAATCAGCATATTGCTTTTTGAAGTATAATATACTTACTGAAACATTTGAAAGTGGGTTATTTGAAGGTCACCCGTTTGCCAATATCCTAGCTGCGGAACTGTAGCTTTTATTGTCCTTGTGATAATTTTGGCAATTTATGATCCGAAAATTGCCGAAAAATATCACATAGACCAATAAAGCTACGATTCCGGTATTACCAATATCTTTGCTAATATGATATATACCATCTAGCTGATATAGAATTTGAAGGTTTATTGTCACCCGCGCAACGCGTTGCGGGGGACATAGAAACACCGGGCGTCCGTCCATCCGTCCGGTCTTGTTAGCGATCTCACGTGTACAATTCTTGCCAAATTTTTTTGAAACTTAAATCATAGGTTTATATCAGCAATGCCGATCAAAAATTTGTAGAAGAGATTTCCTCCTTGGAAACATTAATTATATGGAAAATTGGAGGGTTAGTGCTCTCATTTGTTCAATTCTTGTTAGATTTTTATGAAATGTATAATATAGGTTCATATTAGCAATGTCCTGAACGAGTTCGAAAATCAGTGCCGATCAGTTATTTTCAAAAGAGTTATGCCCCTTGGAAACATTAATTATATTGCATTGTTAGCGCTCTCATTTGTACAATTCTTGCCACAATTTTCTGAAACTTAAATCATAGGTTTATATCAGCAATATCTTTGACGAGTTTGAAAATCACTGCCGATCAATTATTTTCAAAAGAGTTATGCCCCTTGGAAATAGTGCATTGTAAGCGCTTTCATCAGTTCTATTCTTGCCAGATTTTTATGAAACTTATATCATTGGTTTATATCAGCAATGTCTTTGACACTTTCGAAAATAAGATCTGATCAAATATTTTTAACGAGTTATGCTCCTTAAAATATTAATTATAATGGAAATTACATTGCATTTGCACTAAAGCCTTCATTTCTCTTTAGATAGTAATAATAATTCCTGCTCTTTTATTTACCCTCAGAATTAATTGCATATTTTTATGTAATATGTAAACGTGATTTCTCCTTGCGTAAAATTTTATTTCGTCAGTTCAAGAACGTTTTAACATAATGATTAATTTCAAAACTACATTACCAGTGGCATATTTATTATGTAAATGATTAAAGAAAAATAATTATTCTGATTCATCATATTTACGCATGTTTTTACGTAGTTGGTAAGACACACTTGTTTCATATAGAAATGTAATATAATACAAATGAAATGCATTTGTGAATTTCACGTAATAACAAAACCTTTTTCTATTCGCAGGAGGGGTTTTATTTCAAATTGGGGGAGTATTTTTTTATCGGATTCATCAGAAAAAAATAAATAATATAAGAGCAAATAAATCTATTGACGTATTTAGTTTTGCTCATTGTTTTGATTTTTTAAAATTCCTTTTGTTTGTTAAATTGTCTTTGATTTTTATTGTAATTGTTTCATCTATACACGACGGGCTGAATGGGGTTTACACAATAAAGAATATCATGGACAAAAAGTGCAGAATAAAGGCAGATAAATATAAATAATAGACGAAAATAGACAAAAATAGACGAAAATAGACAAAAATAGACAAAAATAGACAATAATAGACAAAAATAGGACAAAAATAGACAAAAATAATTAAGAAAAGAGAACAATTGGATGCTAAAATACGAAGAATAGAGAATATTTGGCAAGATAAGAGGAAAAAGGCCTAAAAAATAAAAGAAAAAAGGTATCTTCTTCCAGACTCTCGTCTAATTTTGTTCCTTTTTCATCCAGTGCTCTTGTTCCTTGATTTTACCGATCTTTCCAGCAATGAAATATTTATTCTTCTAGTGTAAATTATTGGTTGTTAATTATACTTTTCTTCATCAATCTCTCTGGATTGATCTTATAATAATAATTGCTGTAACACTCTCAATTTCCCGTCCTTCATCCCGGTCGACAGATTTTGCAGAACTTACCAATAGGATTTATCGCCAATGTGTTATCGTCCTGAATATGCATGAAATATTTGAGAAAAATAAACCAAATCAATTAATCCATTCTTTTGTGTCATAGTATTATTTTGATATATACTTACCGACGAAGACTCTTCATCGCAAAATATTCACAACCAATTAATTTATTGTACTATCGATTTTCGTCTTGAATATGCATGAGATGTGTGTCAAAGGAAGTAAGTAAGAACATTTTATCTAAAGTCGTCATATATGTTCATAATAACAGCGAAAATATAAGCTCTGATCATGCTGGTGAGGGAAACACTAACCAATCAATCATATTTCTATATTATAAACACTTTACTTGTAGGTTCTCTTGTTGGTGAATGTGGCTAGCTTTTGAGGCGCCACTCCCCAGTACCATGGAATGAATGCACTTCAAGATACTTATAAAAATTTCCACATCGTTGGAATTCCATGTAATCTGTTTGGCAAGGTACGTTTTTGTTGTAGAATGACTCGAGCAAATTTGACTTGGTAAATATTGGATTATTTAAAAAAAAAAAAAGAATAAACACAAAACAAAGAATGTAACTGATGACGACTCGATGTCACGAGTAACCTTAAATGTAACTGATGACGACTCAATGTTTCGAGTACCCTTTAATGTAACTGATGACGACTTAATGTTACGAATAACTTTTAATGTAACTGTTGATCGACGACTCAATGTTACGAGTAACTTTAAATGTAACTGATGAGAAATATCGTAAAACACGAGTTATAGTGGTTTAATCTGTTTCTCTAATTTTTGTGCTATTTTCACATTTCTTGATCGGTGTGAGAAAAATACTTCTCCTCACTAGTGAAATATCTGTTCTCGGCAAATGATTGGTCGAAATTTAATTATGACGTCAAATTTTCTTGGTTTAGTCTGAATTTTCCTATTGTGACGTCATAAAAAAAAGGCGACCATGCCTGATGACGTCACATATAAAGAACACAGCTTTCTGCAAATCTTTGAAAAGGAAGGATAAAATCATTAGAGAAACAGATTCCACCACTATAACTCGTGCATTACGATATTTCTCCACTCGAGACAGTTAAATTTTAATATTTAAAGCGCGAGGCAGATTAACCAAGTATTGTGCAACAGCACAGTATTGCGAATGTCACATTATTACGCAATTGCAAGAAATCTTCAATTGAAAATAAATACAAATCTTTTAACCAATTTCAATGGGATTAATTTAAAGTCTTTAATTTTTAAACCTCTGCGGTCGTATCAGACTGCGCTCGACGAAGCATTTTATTTCTGTTTGGAGAAGGGAAACAGACACACATATATTTGTTTGGCCTAAATACAGAAAAACTCGAAGGAGGAAAGTTAGGGTTCGTTTGAATGTTTAACAATTTCTATTTCAGCAAGAACCAGGAGCAAATGGAACGGAAATTTTAAACATGCTGAAACATGTTCGTCCAGGTTCCGGGTTCGTACCAAACTTCCCACTGACACAAAAGACTGACGTCAACGGAGAAAAGGAACATGCATTATACACCTACCTAAAGGTAATTTCTAATTGAATTTGTTTTTAAATTATTGACTAATTTGTTCATTTGTATGTTTTGGAGTTTAGTGTGGCGTCCATTTCGCTGAACTAGTATACATTATTTTCAAGGGGCCAGCTGTGCAATTTATAAAAACAGTTACATGTATGTACGAAATAAGGGATAGCATTTAACGGAAAGAACCGATAAGGACATACTTTGATTCCGAACCGATATCACTTGATGCCCATTTGTATTTCTGGTGGAGGAAAGCCGAAATTCCTACGATACAGGATCTTGGAATGAAACTATCGATCCATTAGGAGAACAGCTGAAATTCTCAGACATCAAATAGATTGGTCTGAAAGTTTCCCTCATGGAAACTACTAATGGATCCCATCTGCTTAGCACATGTCTCAAATAAACCTGAGAATATCTGTAGGACCTTTCCTTAACAAACAAAAAAAAAGGAATCCAAAACATAAACACAACGATGTAAGGATTACAAAATTTGTCAATGAAACCAATCTGACAAAACAATTTCAATGAGGTTGAAGGATTCTCTCTGCAAAAAGTCCGCTCTCATCGGCATGCTCGAATGCTCGGAATGGGTGGAATGGGCGGATGTTGGTGTCAGATACCGATCATTTCTGTTGAACTTATTTTGCTTTTTCAGTACTTCAGCACTTAAATAGCAAAATAAAGATAATAAATAACACAACTTCAAATACTTGCAACTAAAGGTGAACTTTATGCAGAAAAAAATAAGTGGAATTATTTTTTTTTAAATTTTACGTTCATTTTGTATTTTGAAAATGTACTTATGCAATTTGTAATTCTTGTGATTTATTTTGTTTGCTTAAAACGTTTTGTGGCAAATATTACATGCCTTTTCATGATAAATTAACAAGAATTTCAATCTTTAAGTTATGCAAAGTTTGTAGACATTGATAGAGGACTGTCACCGGAAAAAGGTATGTTTAATTGGTACTGAAATATTCCTTTCAACATGGCATCTACAAAGTAGTTTTGTGAGACAGAATGAAGCTAATGGTATCCATTTACATTTTGCAATACATTCAAATTTTATTTTTTTGTTACGGTCGGTAACGTTTAATAAACAGAAAGTCAGAACCGTTTGTATTTGATTAAGACTAACCTACTATGTTTGATGATTTGAGTTTTCGCGGTTAAAATTATAGTTCAGTACGAGGTAAGGTGAATTTCCCGCAAAAATGCCCTACAAATCTCTGCACGAGTTATTTCCCTGTTGAGAGAATTGGTATGATTGCTAATGAGACAACTATCTACCAGAGACCAACGGACGTGGATGTAAGCAACTATTTATCACCTTACGGCCTTCAATAACAGAGCAAAGACCATACCGTATAGTAAGCTATAAAAATCCGTCATTACAAAATGTGAGACGAAAAAAAAACATGTTTATATTTCGCTGCTTTTTTGTCGACTTTTATTTTCTATACTCAATTTCATACAACCCATGTCTGTACATTTTAGGCTTTCTGTCCACCAGTAGATGACATATTTTATACAGAAACATCAGGAATTTATTACAAGCCTTACCATAACAGTGATGTCAGATGGAACTTTGAAAAATTTCTAATCAATAAAGAAGGGAAAGCTGTAATGCGGTACCCAACACGTATGGTACCATCCTCCTTAGAAAAAGATATAGAGGATTTGTTAGAGGAAGGGTCACAAAAAAATTCATATGGAGGAGGATCGGGGCGGTGACTCGTAAATAGGACTTTATTTTCAGCTTTATGGCTTTTTGTCTGCAAAATATTTTAAGGCTCCAACCATTTTCTTATTTAGTGAAAAGATAGGCAAAATAAAATTATTTATTATTCATTTATTTGTTTTATAATGTAAATTCTGAATTCTATTTTTTTATATGCTAGCTAAAAATGGATGAAAAAATCTTAACGCATCAAGGGCAATGGGGTAAGGGGGGAGTGGGGGTGGTAGTTTGAACGCATGACATATCCTTTCCTGGTAAGAAAATGGTTCGTTCCCAAACTAGCATTCGCAAATACTAATAACATTGAAGATTTTTTAATGATTCATTTTAATGACTATTCCATTTCATTTTTTAAATGCATAGCAATATTACCAATAATTGTTTAAAATAATGGACATATATTGTATAAATATAAATTTATCTTAAGTCTTATTTATTTTATGATGTAAGTTTTACAGTTTATGAAAAATTTGCCAGAAATAGATGAAACTCTATGGTGAATTTTGAATGAATCAATGATAAAATGGTATTTGCATTCTACCATTTTTGTAATTGGTTCTTGTAAAAAGCAATGAATAAAATAAATGAAACACCACTTTATTTTGTTCTTTTTTTTGTTAAATAAGAGATTACTATGTACACCCATCAGTAGTTCTTTCTCGTAAAATAACCTAACAAGTTTACTATGGAGCATCCGTCAGTAGTTCTTTCTCGTAAAATAACCTAACAAGTTTACTATGGAGCATCCATAAGTAGTTCTTTCTCGTAAAATAACCTAACAAGTTTACTATGGAGCATCCGTCAGTAGTTCTTTCTCGTAAAATAACCTTACAAATTTACCATGGAGCATCCATAAGTAGTTCTTTCTCGTAAAATAACCTAACAAGTTTACTATGGAGCATCCATAAGTAGTTCTTTCTCGTAAAATAACCTAACAGGTTTACTATGGAGCATCCGTCAGTAGTTCTTTCTCGTAAAATAACCTAACAAGTTTACTATGGAGCATCCATAAGTAGTTCTTTCTCGTAAAATAACCTAACAAGTTTACTATGGAGCATCCATAAGTAGTTCTTTCTCGTAAAATAACCTAACAAGTTTACTATGGAGCATCCGTCAGTAGTTCTTTCTCGTAAAATAACCTAACAAATTCAACAGGCAGGGTGATCACCAAACACTTTCTATACCGTTTAGATGGTTAATTTATTTGACATAGGTAGAGTTGATTGATTGATCGATTGTTGGTGTTTAACGCCACTTTCATCACTCTAAACTGTATCATGGTGGCCATTTTTATTTGATGGAGGAAAGCTGGAGTGCCCGGTGGTAACCACCAACCTCCGACAGGACAAATGACAATCCAAGTTGATTATGATCGGAGTTGATTGCACCTTCTATGTGCTGCGTTCGAGCTCACAACTAACAGAGGCCTAGCTTGACTCTTATTTTTTGTGAGGCAAAGAAGGACAGGACATCAATGCGGAACTAGTACCGTAATGCTGCTGTGAAGAGGTTGATTCAAGAGCAAAACCAGCGTCCCAAAAAACAGTTCTTAGTATTTATAGATGAAAAGACTTATACATTCCGCGATTCGAAGCAGACACCACATTTCGGCATGGGTTAACTACCGGACGGGTTGCCATATTTTGTTACCATAATCTGCACCTTGGCGTACGTTTTATACTGGGTAACGACATGTTAAATAGTTATTTTATCAAGAGTCGTATATATAAATAAAAAAGAGGAGACGATACCAAGTGGCAATCAAAACCATGAATAAAAAAAAAAACAATACTAAGAGAAAAACGACGCGGGACAGATAAAGAGTTATCCACCAAACAGCACAAGGAAAAATAGGTTGGGCAACATGAACCACACCAAAAAATAGGACTAAACTCGCAAATGCACTTAAGGCAGTTTCTGCTCCACTTATGTTTTGCTCAAATCATTTGGTAATGCCATAACTTGAGACGAATACTCAAAAACGGTTTATCAAACATGATGGCGTCAGTAGAAAACAGAGTGATCACTACAAAGTTGCAATAATTTAAGGACCCCTGGTCTAAGCAGCTAGATTGGAAACCCATCAATTCTATATATCACAAAATATATTGAGAGAAACAAGGTGTGAAATATCATACAATGTATAAACTGGGAGATATAAAAATAAGAAGATGTGGTATAATTTCCAATGAGACAACGCTCCATCAGAGACCAAATGACATAGACGTTAACAGCTATAGGTCACCGTTCAACAATGAGCAAATCCCATACCGCATAATCAGATATATTTAGGTGACTAAAGAATATTTCAATGTAAAAATGAAAAGATTACAATGTGAAAATTGAAATAATCTTTTTTTTAGTTCTAAACCGTTCAGTCAAATTCTATAAGTCAAGATAAGAAACAGACCTAACTGTTTATTTGATATCATTTATTACAAGTTCAAAGGGATAGATGCAGTGAGCGACGTTAAAGGATAATGCAGCTAATTTTCATTCGCATGTTTAGAAGCCTCTGTATAAAGTACATGTATGTGTTATACACCATGTCAAACAAATGTAACAAATTTGTTTCAATGAATAGCGGCAACTTTATCATCTTAGTTTAAAAGAAGTTCTTGTTTTAGTGGTATTTATTATGAAAATGTCCCTTGCTAACAGGATATTTGTACCGATGTTGACTCTTGCCTTAAAAAAATTGAACTAAATCTTTCAGTATGTCTTACGTTTAGAATGAAAAATAGAGATTTCAAATTTCTATAACCATCCGGCATTGCTACGAAATACAAATTGTACATTTTATCTTTCTAATTTTTTTCTTGGTCTAATATTTTTAGTGTGGCAGTTGCCTCATTGCCTCAAGGAAAGCTATGCCTCTGGAGCTGCACGAGGGACTTATGCAGAATGTTACGAAATTATTTTTGTACTGATGCTTATACCAGTTGATAAAGACATGGTTCGTTCGCTATCCAATATATTTGCCTGGAATTGAGTCTTTGTAAACACTGTGCTAATCGATATGGCCACCACACAGACAAGTGAAGGGGGTGTAAATGAAGACATTGTAGTTTCTAAGAGCTTTTAAGCTTTTTTACTAATTTAAATTTTCGTTATATTTTGTTAAAATCTGAAAAGTTTTATTTTTTCAATCTATTTTGAAACATTATATTTCGATAATTTTTTTTTAATCTACATCGCAAACCTCACTTCTAGTTTAACAGAGTTTGTCTATTTGAATTGGGAGAGAGTACCTCGCAGTATTCAAGTGTCCATTAGACCTTGAAAAAAGTACAGCATTTGAAACATTTGAAACATTTTATTTCACTAAAGGCCTCACATGAGGCATGATAGTACAACAATATAACAAATAACAAATAATGCATGAACATACATATTCACAAATGCTTGAATAAATGGGAAGGTAAATATCATTTGTAAACTGACATTACAATTCTACAGAACTTAGCTAAGCCAACAAGAACAAATTTATCTTTGCTGTTCATTAAATCAGAGAAACTCATAGCATTCTTCACTTTACAAATATCTGCTGGTAAAAATTTCAGCCCTTCAGCATTAAAGAAAGTACAATCATATATGTAATGAAATTCATCTCCTAGCACATTTCTGTTACATAAATCACATATTCTTTCTGATCTATCAATGCTATAAAATCTACCACATTCAATAGGTAACCTATGACTACTGCACCTATATTTACACAAATTAATTCTTAAATCAAAAGGCAATGTAGTTAAATAATCTTCAAAACCAAACTCAGACTTGTACATTCTATAATTTAAACATTTTGATGTATTAAATATCTGAGCCTTCCATTCATTTACAAACAAATTGTGGTAATAATGTTTCACATTTTTAGACAACTGACAGTTTGTATCTATATATTGATTATTCAAGGCATTAATAAAACCACATTCAGATAATATATCTTTTACACAATTCAACCACTTAGAGTGATATATATCACCAGAATCAAGTTTATATAGCATTTCATACAATGTACGAGAAATTTCTCTTTTTTGCCTGTAACAATACGTTTCCAAAAACCAACCATTCTTGCCTTAATATTAACAGACATTGGTACTCTACCAAGTTCACCATATACAATGCAATTAGGTGTACATTTTTTAATTTTCATTATATATTTACAAAATTCTAAATGCAATGATTCAATAACATCATTTTTCTCATACCCCCAAACTTCTGCACCGTACAACAATATAGGGCCAACCATAGCATCAAAAAGTTTTAACAATACATCTATAGGTAAATACAATTGTCTTGCCTTACGTAATACATAAAACATTGCTTTTCTGTCTTGTTGAACCAGTCTAGATTTATTAACATGAAAAGTACCTTTTCTAGAAAATACAATACCTAAATATTGGAATTCATCAATAACAGATAAACGGTCATTATTATATATGGAATGAACATTTTCAGCCTGTCGACTTTTAGAAAATATAACAACATTGGTTTTTGCAGTATTAACTTTAAGATTCCATGTTTCACAGTATAAATACATTGCATTCAATGCTGATTGTAACTCAGCTGCAGATTCTGCAAAAATGACTGTGTCGTCCGCATATAACAACAGATACAATTTGAAATACACTTCAATATCATTATTGTCAAACAGTAAATGAGACATATTACAAACATCATTCAAACCACTATAAGCATGTGAAATAAACTCAGTTAAATCATTAAAAAATATAGAAAATAATAGGGGCGACAGGTTTTCACCCTGCCTCACACCAATATTAGATGCAAAAAAATCTGAACAATTAGATCCATCTCTTACACAAGATTTTGCAATTTTATATAAGTTTTGTAATAAAATCAGTAATTTACCATCTATACCATTGCGTAACAATTTTTGCCATAATAATATTCTGTTTACAGAGTCAAAAGCCTTACGAAAATCAACAAAGGCGCAATACAATTTTTTCCTTCTAAATAAATACAAATCAATGAGACATTTCTACTTTTACATACCAAATCATCATAATTAATTGTTGAAAGTACTCTATAATAATACTTCTTAGACCTGCGATAATTTTTACGTTTTACATAACATTCACTATTGAAATACTTCTTACGATGTACAAATTGAGAGTTACATTTTTTTTTTACATTTTTATCATTTATTTTTACAAACATATTGGCTAGTTCTGCCGCTTTCCTTATAATATTAATACAATCATCTACAACATTATTGACAGTTACATTATCAGTATTTTGAGGATCAATATCCTCTTATCTATTCAAAAGTTCATCTATACTGGCATCGTCTAGGTTCTCTGTGAAAGCATTGTATAAGAAACTATGTGCATTTGATTAGATTATCTGCCCTTGAAATCCTTACATATAATCGATATGACCATCATTACAGGCAGTAACGTATTTATAAATGCTTTGTAACTAAAAACAATTTAGCCTCTACCTGATTTTTTTTATTTGATTACAATATAAAACGTTTTCTTTTTTAAATATTAAAAAAAAAGTGTTTTTAATCCTTGTACTAACTGGTTAACTAATGTTTGTCCATTTGACTTTAGAAACAGAACAGCATAG